CATATCAAACTCACGGGGTACAAATAGTCTCTTACTGAATTTCGTGACCACGCCCACTTCATCGGCCCACTCAAATCGAGTGCGATTTTTGGATGTTATATCATCTTGCCGACTCTCTGTATAAAAAGTTAACAATGTACCACCGAAATATTGAACTATAATATCATGGCTTTCCATTTTGTGTATTTTCGTACTACAAAGTAAAGTTTTTCCCTCGTCATTTTCACCTTTTCCCGAGCGGGTCCGTCAAAATTAAGAAGGCGTTCGTGGTCAAAACAAGACCGAGCAAGGAGTCTTGGGCGATTTCTCTCTTACGCAAGCGCAAATTGAAAATGTACCGCCAAAATCAAAGAGAGGAACAAATTTCCTTTGTTTTGATATGTAAATTGTCGAACAAGGAGCAGATTGAACCTCGTCAAATGGCTAGTCAAAACAGCCACACCTTCCTCCTTTTGCTCGTTTCCTGTTTTATAAGCGTGAAAGCAGTGGGAGAAGAATCGGGTAGCTCGGAAAGCGCTTCACCATCGTTTACTTACGAGATAAACAAGTAAGATTTGTAAAGTTATTTTCCGAAAGAGTCGGAATAAATACATTTTTTTCAGGTTAGATTGCTGTTTTTACCCTAAACGTCGTCCAATAAATTTTTGTTGCAGCCTACTAATCTATACAATTTCGAAGGAAAATATTCAGATGCTTCACCGTCCCCGAAGGGGGTTCTGTCCTGGTGTACCGGTTCACAAGGGAATTACCATTGTTCTTTCTTTGTTTAGGAGTTATCGGTTAGCTATTGTGTATTGTTTGGTCTTTTGTATTGGCTCTTGTGAACCGGTACACGAGGACAGAACCCCGAAGGGTCTCCACTCATCGAAGCGTGTACTGTAGCCAATGTAGTGAATTTTCAGTCTCTTGTTGGGTTTGTCAACCTCCGTGACTTCAATATCATACAATTTTGTATCTTTTCTCTGTGAAATGACCTTTTTAACAGGGGTGTATGCTGAGTATTCGTTGCAGAATCGCTTTGGTTCTCTTATCTCTCTCTTTGGCTTGTCCACCATTTTGAAAATTTGCTCAGGAGGGCATCTGGGCTAGCGGCCGCGCCAGGCTGAAACCGACAAAAACAAATGTCCATCGCAGTGGGGAAACAGTTTGATATGTCTCTCTCTACAGGACACAATTAATGACTCTAAGGAAGAACTCAACACGAAGTATTTTCAATACGTGTTGCGGGAGGCTCTGTCGTATGGTTGCATTCAAAATAAACAATTTTGTTGACAAGTGAAAACATTTCTGTATCAGCACTGTCGAGTGGTTTAAGTCCCCAATTGACTGAACAATCGGAAAAAATGTAAATTAATCTCCTTTCTTCAAATATGAAAGTCCATGTCTTACACAATTTCGATTAATTAATTTTTTTTCTATGTTTTTCAGCTACTGCAACTCAGTAGGACTGAGTTATTGAAATTTACAATTGGTCGCGTGATTGACCTCGTATCAAACGATGTTCAGCAACTGGAGGAGTATACTGTGATGGACTGTTGCCTTGCCATTTTGGATTTTCTCTTACTTGTACCTGCAATGGTAATATTACTCGTCTATTTCATCGGTTGGCAAGCTCTTATAGGATTCATATCCCTTTGTTTTCTGGTGCCATATTTTATTGGATTCGCCTGTATTAGTGCTACACTTCACCGCAATACCGAAGCATTTACCGATAGGCGCATCTCTTTAGTGAACCAAGTAATTTCTGGAATTCGGGCGATCAAAACACATGCCTGGGAGGATGAATACCAAGAAAGGATCAAAAGGACACGAAGGTAAGAAAAAAACTCACAATAGGCCCTCTGCAGCTAGAGGTCACGTGCTTGGCAACACAAAACTGGAGAGCAAGCGCTCCAGTAAGCAAACTCTCGTAAGAGGTCAAGCATATCTGGCTTTAGACAATAGTTTTCTGTTCATCACGCTCAATCCTTTTGCAATATCTACAGAAACTGTAAGATATTTACTAAATCTCTCTTTTGGACTCGATTTTTGGATGGAAAGCACGATAATTTTCTGGAAATCGTGAAAAAACTGTCACTAACAACCCGCTCGACGGCTAAGAAACATGGCGGCTTCGCAAGGTATGTACCTAAAATATATACTTTTTTCTGCTTTTTTTTTAGTTATTGGACTTCGAAAGTCTATGAAAATAAAATATTAGATCGAAAATAGCAACCAGTGAAATTTTACGACATTTTACGCCCGATTTCTTACGATATTATGAGAGCAATTATGCGTTTGCTGCAGCCTTTTGCTGCACAAATGACATATTGTTATGCTTCCGGTGAAAGAGTTAGTAAACCAGGTTCAAGAAATATGCTTCTTGAAGATGAGTTTTTTATTTTTTGTGTGCGACTCAAGCTTGGTTTATTTGAGCAGGACTTAGCACATAGGTTTCAGATAAACAGATCATCAGTTTGCAGAAAAGTGATCACATGGACTAATTTTTCGTATTTTTTTCTTGGGAGTCAAGTGATCTGGCCATCAAGGGAAGATGTCAATAGCTATATGCCAGAAGGTTTCAAAAGGCTTTATGCAAGCATGCGTGTTATATAAGATTGTACTGAGATTTTTGTGCAAACACCTACCTCACTGCTACTTCAGTCGCAGCTTTGATTCTACTTATAAAAGTAATACTACACCAAAAGGTTTAATAGGTATTACCCCTTATGGAGTTATTAATTTTGTTTCTAACCTCTACCATGGAGGGATAAGTGATAAGGGAATCACAAGGTGCAGTGGAATTCTAGATTTGTTAGAGCCTAGGGACTCGGTCATGGCCGACAAAGGGTTTGACATTGAAGATTTGCTGAGGGAGAAGGGGGTGAAGCAAAATATCCCTCCGTTTCTAGAAAGTCTGGAACAATTCTCTGCCCAGGATGTTCAGAAAACAAAGACAATAGCAAGTTTGAGAATACATGTTGAAAGAGCAATAAGGGATTTCAAAATGGATATAATAAATTGGAATATCTGGGAAGCATAAATTACAGAGCAACCTGTGTTTTGTTTGAGAAGTCAATATTCATCATGTATGACGGAAGGGTGCAGTAAAAATCAGTGCGATAAAAAATATGTAGAAAAAATCCATAAGGAAACCGGAACATTTTTATATTAATATTGGGAGTTGCAAAAATTTTAGCCTTTTTTGGTGTATGGGTTTTAATCTTTGAAGATGATAAATGAAGATCAGCTAATTTGTTGTCAATTAAAATTTAATCAAGCTGCCCTATTCCCTCTGCCATACATTGTGAACACAGTCTTAATGTAAAAAGTAATTGAAGAAAAAACTATCCACTTTGTCCTTTGCTTCCTGGAAGAACACTGGATCAAAATTAATTCTAGAGCAAAAATAGAATTTTTCATGAATGTAAGTAAAAAAAAATCACACCATTCCAATCCTGTGAGTCGAAGCTGGCACTGAAACTGGTAGTTATAAATGTCTGTTGTCTTCAGTTTGTACTGGTTAGTGATCTGGTCCTTAGTTAGATGTCTGACATTGTCAAATGAAGTTTCACCTCTTTGACAACTTTTATTTCTAAAAAGCCAAATGGATTCTCACCATTATTTATTGCATCAAGATCATAAACTTTTCTGTCTGGACTACAACCTAGCCGTGCGCATTTGGTCATCCTTTGCCCGGCCAGGTAAGCGGTGTCACTTTAATTCAGGATGATATCTATAATCCCCGTTACACAAGGGAACACAACAATGGTACGAAGATTTCTTCTTCCGGTCTGATGGCTCGTCGGTAGTTCGAAATCTACAGAGAATTTTAGCATTGCGTTTAGTCTCAATGTAAGACACATAATTACTCTCATAATATCGTAAGAAATCGGGCGTAAAATGCCGTAAAATTCCACTCGATTGCTATTTTCGATCTAATATTATATTTTCATAGACTTTAGAAGTTCAATAACTGAAAAAAGCAAAAAAAAGTACATTTTTTTAAGTACATACCTTGCGAAGCCGCCATGTTTTTTAGCCGTCGAGTGGGTTTTTAGTGACAGTTTTTTACGATTTCGAGAAAATATCGTGCTTTCCATCCAAAAATCGAGTCCAGACGAGAGATTTAGTAAATATCTTACAGCTTTTGCAGATATTGCAAAAGGATTGAGCGTAATGAACAGAAAACTATTGTCTAAAGCCAGATATGCTTGACCTCTTACGAGAGTTTGTTTACTGGAGCGCTTGCTCTCCAGTTTTGTGTTGCTATGCAGTATCCAAGCACGCGACCTCTAGCTGCAAAGGGCCTATTGATGTTGAGTCAGTCAAAGTACCTATCACTACTTGTGTGCTATTGTAATCTTGAACAAACTCCCGGTCGTTGTTCATGAAGATCAAACTTGTGAACTGTACTTAAGATAAAGTCATCTTTAAGTACAGACGCGGCAAAGCATTGGTTTATAGCATAAACCCTTCTAAAAATTGTCGTACTTTTTATTATTTTGACTTGTTTTGATTGTGTTTTGCTACTTTGTTGCAACTTTAAGAAATGCAGAAACCTTTTAAATCCAGAAAAAAAGTTGGTTCGAACTTACGAAGTATTTAACTGAGCGATGCCTCCCTTCCAGCGAAGACCTGGCCATCGAGTTTATGAAATGTCAATAGAGACCTCTCCCCTAAAGGTATGCTTTTGACGCTCAACCATGTCTGAGGTTTGAAAGGTTACAAACGTGACTACCAATCTTGCAATGGATGATGGGTGTCAACCTCAGAGTCAACCTTCCAGCCTCAGAGAAAAATGCCGGTGGCCGAGGCATTAAAAAACCTACCCTTCCCTCCCCTGCGCTTTCCACACAGAGCTATTTGTTGTATCACCCATAAATGTAATAAAAACCATAAATGTAATACCAACCATAAACGTAATAAAAATTGACCATAAATACTCGACTGACCATAAATGGAATAACTTTTAATCATAAATGTAATAAATCCACTAACCATAAATGTAATAAAATTTGCCCATAACTGTAATAAACTGAACAACCATAAATGTAATAAGGCTTACCCATAAATGTAATAAGCTGGCTATGACTTCCAAGTCAAGGGGCTACAAGCTTGTCATTTTCTTTTATGCGCTTCTTACTTCAGGACACGGGAATCGTGCTTCAAGTTAGTATTTAAAACCCCAGAAGCTATAATTATGGTCTGGGAACATTTACAAACAACCCAAAGTATGATTAAAAAGTCTATATACCAGCGCGTTTGAAGTACTGGGAGTTGATGACACTCCATCCATTTGAATAAGCTTGAGGTTCTCTTTGAGTCAAGACGAATTCAACTGCTGACTTGCAGGTTGGTTGGGTAGCACAGGCGGTCAAAGTTTTAGAATATTGTAGCACTGGTATGTTTCTTAAACAGATAAGATATGTTAGACATCTCTCGAGGCACATGGGCAATATAAGGATAAAATACTTAACAGCATTCTATAAAACAAAACTCGGCTTATTACAACGTTAACACAACAGCGGCAACTAATGATTAAAGAAATTGTGTAAAGAATCAGGTTTGCATTGCCATCATACCTGTTATTGATGATTGCTAATAAATGAAATAACTTTAATATACGTGGAAACAGTCTTTTACATTCCGAAAAAAGATCTAGTGATTCCGTTCTATGTCCCGGACATTACAAGGCAAGTAGCTTTCTATAGTATCTACTACAATCTATTTCTTTCCTTTTTTCCAAACGATGCCTGTTACATACATCCATCTTGCAACGCCAGTGAAAAGAAGATTTATCCAAGCATTTATCCACTGAGGACTGTTGATGGTTTCTTTTAATGCCAACACAAGCCCGCTACCTCTTCCATACTGTCTAAGAATCTGTCTCATGCTGTGGAGACCGGGTTACATGTCTCTGTTAACGCTTATTTTCGGTAGCCTTCCAATGTATCGCGCAACTAATATTTTAAATTTGATCGATGTCTGGCTTAGGGCATTATATATGTATCAACAATTGTTCGATCACGTCCTGTCATGGATAGTTTTACTATCATATCGAGGATCTCCTCAGGCAGCGATTCCAGTTTAGCTTCCTCGGCAACTTCTTCTTCTTCTTCTTGTTCTTCTTCATGTTGTTCTTCTTGTAGTTGTTCTTGATTATCTTCTACTTGTCGTGGTTTACCGTTTTTTTCAGAGTTTGTAACGTTTTGTTTGTCGTTAGAAAGTACTACATCATCTTCCGATACCATTTTCATAATCGTTTTGTTCATGTTCATTTCATCGCCATCTTCAAAAATGTTTTCCTTTCCTTTCCTTTTTTCGGAGGAGTCTGTTTCTTCGTCACTTTCTTGATTAACTCTATTATTAGCCACCAAGGAGACCTAGTGGATACCATCATCCTCTGAAAAATGACCCATGAAAACCCAAGCCACAGGTTTACAGTTCTGAGGACTAATGACTGTTCTCCCCTCAGGTCCGAGACTAGAAATGACAATTATTTCTACAAGGTAAAGGTTAGCCATGGCTTGAAGTGTTAACCGATCGTCGTATGTCGAATTTTGTGCCATTGTATTGAGATATTCAGAACAGGGCGTTGCGGCTAATGGCTCCAGAAGAGTTCCATCCATGCCATTGGGATTGTCTGATAAATATTGAACGACCTCGCGCCGAAGTGTTTCATTAGACCTTTGGATCCCGACATCTTGCAAAGCATGAGCTACCGCTCCGAACTGACAGTTACCATCTCCAGCAGGGTCAAACGAAATAGCAAAGCCGTGATCCTAAAATGCTTCAAGCTTGTCATTGCGTTCCAGTGGAATATATAATTTTT